TCTTGTAATAGTATGTACGTACTAATGTATGTACTAGGTGTTTAATTGTAAGGGTTCTAGTTCCTCTAGTTAATTAGGTTTTCCTTTGGAGTATCTCTTCTTTTTCTTTTTTTCCATCATTGATGATCTTGTTTTTTCCCTTTTAAACTTGTGAATCTTGCATCCATACCAAAACTCTTCATCATCTTCATCTTCATCTCCATCTCCATCTCCATCGACGTTACTACACGATATTTCTTGGCCACCACTTTTATAAACTACCTTACCCTTTTGTTCTTCCTCTTTCTTTATTACGGCTTCTTTATGTTGATCATTGTAGTTATCATCATCAACACGAGAAACATCAAGATATGAACTACCTTCCATGGTTTGATTGTAAGGATAGACGATTTCAGTATCTTGATGATAATAGTTATTATAATCAACATGTAGGTTGTAAGGATAGACGAGTACATGATCTTGATAATAGTTTTCAATATAATCAACATGTAGGTTGTAAGGATAGACGAGTTCATGATCTTGATAATAATGACCATCATCATTATATTCATCAGCACTAGAAACATCGAAATATAAATGACTACCTAAACATTCCGCCATGGTTAGGTTGTAAGGATAGACGAGTTCATGATCTTGATAATAGTGACCATCATCATACTCATCTTGAGAAACATCGAAATATGTACCACCCAAATATTCCGCCATGGTTTGGTTGTAAGGATACATGAGTTCATGATCTTGATAATAGTGACCATCATCATAAGCATCAACACGAGTAACATCAAAGTATAAACTACCTAAACATTCCGCCATGGTTAGGTTGTAGGGATATACGAGTTCATGATCTTGATAATGACTATCATATGTAACGATGTTACCATTCCAAAAATATAACTCCATCATGTTCATATTTAATTTTAGGGAAGAATATGTTTTAGTTTAAGATTGGTCGATCTTCAAATTAAACTCAGTTTCCCATATATTTATAGGTTTTTTTTACTTAACATCGTATTTCATTAGGTTTAGGATTATCTATCTACAAAGTGTGATTTAAGAATTTTAGACAATATTTGATACTATTTATGAATATTTGACAAATCACATTATTTTTATCTTAATAATATTATCATCCCAAATTATTGGTTGTTTGACTTTTTAACCCATATTAGCTTTAATTTATTAAATAAATAAATAACTCAATTAACAAATAGTCAAACATAGGGCAAACAACCAATAATTTGGGATGATAATATTATTAAGATAAAAATAATGTGATTTGTCAAATAAATAAAAAAAAAAAACAAAAAAATAAAAATAAAGATTGTAATTATATTTCGAAGAATATAGTGTTTTAATTCTAGAGTTAAGGCCACACTTAGATCGTGTAATTAGGTAATTTCGTACAAAAGCAAATTAAAAAGAGGTCATTGTAAAATGTAAACCAACATAGGGCAAAACACAATGAAGGCATAAGCATAAGGATATTAATAGTATTACTGTATAATTATTATAGGCAACTTATCTTATGCATTTATACAGTTATACTTTAGACTTTTAATTTAAATAAGTGATGATATCTAGCTTCCTAATTTTCCTATCAAGTTCCATTAACTTAATTCAATCTTTGTGTTGGTTGTCTCCTTCACTTCCTGTGGTTGTGCAGCAGCAGCAGCTTCTGCTTCCTCCTTAGCCTTTTTCTCCATTCTCCTTTTCTCCAAGGCTGCCTTCTTAGCATCCTGATCTACCTTCGCCTTTTCGAGGGCACGAATGAGATTCTCCAAACATGTATCAACACCATCATCAGGGAACTTAGGCAATAAACTCTCACCAACATCAGCAGGTGTGATTTTAGTAACTTCCAACAGACCTTTAATCGCGTCAAACTTGATGTGTTCCTCAATCAACAAATAGTTCTTAGCAAGTACTTTAAACCCTTCAAATCCACAATAAGATAACTCTATGTGCTTGTCCATCCTTCCTGCCCTTATCAAGGCCGGATCCAACTTCGCCACAGAATTCGTTGTAAACACTATTATCCTCTCCCCACCAAGAGATGACCATATCCCATCAACAAAATTAAGCAACCCTGAAAGAGTTACAGAGCAACCTCTGCTCCTACCCTGACTCGACGATCCTGCATTCTTTCCACCACCAGTCTTAGCACTCTCCTCCCTCTTACCAGTTAAATCAACCGAGCAATCAATGTCCTCAATAGCAATTATAGACCTACTCGTCGTGTTAATCAATAGCTTCCTCAACTGAGAGTTATCTTTAGCCGCGGTTAGCTCAAGGTCATACACATCATACTCTAACAAGTTGGCCATTGCAGCTATCATAGTAGACTTTCCGGTCCCTGGAGGACCGTAAAGTAAGTAGCCCCGCTTCCACGCCTTCCCGATCCTCGAGTAAAAGGCCTCACTATCCCTAAACTTCAAAAGTTCAGAATAATTTCTCTTTTCTTTTCAGGGTCCATTGCCAATGTATCAAAAGTTGCAGGATGGTTAAACTCAACAGCATTCCAAATTGATTCAGGGTTATTAGACTGTCCAACTTTGTTCAAATAAAGTTTTCTTGTCCTATTTTTTTCTCTAACATTTTTTCCTTCCTTAATCACATAGTCCAAATACTTCCCAGTTATTAACTCTCTATGCTTCTTATGAAAACTAAGCTCATAAAACTTCCCCTTGTTTGACTTCGACGTCGATTTTCGTGATCGGAACTTCCACCAAACTGTGATCCCATCAAAAGTATCAGTCATTTCCTCATCAACATCCATGCAAAGGATACGTTTTTCGCCGAAAAGGTAAGGTAAACATAGTCTTTTAGCATTTTCAGACCCGTTTTCGGCTAAATAAGCTTGTATAGAAGTAAAATCATCGTTCTTGTAAAGGTTAACTCGGTTGGAAAACTCATCAATGTAAAGATGAATGTAAGGGGACAATATGTCGAATAGTTGGCGTGCATAGCGAGTCATTAAACGGCGAAATTGATAGGGTGCGTAGTTTCTAAGAATTGACATTAAAAACATGAGGGTTGCAATTGCTGAACTCGTGTTTACCCACTTTGCAAGGGTTCGTTCATGCTTTGTCATTGTTTTGGATTCTAGGGTTTTCAGCAAGATTCAAACTTTTTCAAGGGGTTTGGGGAAATGTTTGAGATTCACTATTCCCCCACTCGTATAGTCGTATGTTGGTGTTGGCAGTTTATACTCTGTATTTTGTATACGCCACAGTACTAGGGTTGTCAAATAAGTTGTTTTGTGTCGGACTTGTGTCAATATAAACGGGTTGAAAATTCTGAATCCAAACTCGCTATGTAACACTTGAGCCAAACACAAACTTGAGCCAAACACAATTATCTTATATCAATTTCGTATCAAGTCATGTCATTTTGTGTCAATATTCAGTTACGGTTTTTTTTTTTTTTTTCATTTCATTTTGAAGGTATTTTAGTGAATCGATATGGAGTAGTAGAAGATTGCAGTGGTAGAGGATGGGTAATTACTCATATCAGACTTTTTATGCCTTCTGGTTTCAAAGCCTAGCTCAGTGGTAGAGGATAGGATTAACATAAGTTGGAGTTCTAAATTAACTTCGGATTTTTCACCATATATCACTGAGTTAAAGCTTAATTCACCATATACCATAGAAAACTTTCTAATACACCATATAACCTTCAGTTTTACGAAAATTTCACAACTTGCCCTTTCCGTTAACTCAGTTAGTCATTAACGTTAATTGTGCCACATGGCAGCTTATAATTGGTTCTTAATAATATTCTTTATTTAATTAACTAACTTTAGAGAAATTATTTTAAATTTTTTTTAAAAAAAACACCACCACCTTAGCCATCGCCGCCACCAGCCTAGCCCTGACCCTACCCCCAGCTGGCCGGCGATCGTCCCCCCTCCCCGCCGGTGAAATTCCCGACCCCAACCACCTTTCCCTCCGGAATTCCCAGCCACCACCTGCGAGTATCCCTATCCCTCTCGAATTCCCAAGCACCACCTACGAATTCCCCTTTCCCTCCCGAAATCTCCAGCCACCACCTTCGCGCGGCAGCCTAAATCCACTCCCACACGTCGCCGCCGCCCAAGTTGCCGAAAACCACCACCCCGAAACCCTAAAACACCAAAATCGAAACCCTAGATTTTGGTTTTAGGATTTCGACATACGTGGTGGTTTAGTTTGGGGTGGAAATGGCACCAATACGGGCGAAATTGATTCGTCGGTGCGGGGGAGGGGGGTTTGGGCGCTGACCGATGGTTAGCGAAGGGTTCTTCGAGGGAGATGGGCTGTTTCGTGACCGGTGGTTCGATTGTTCTTCTAGGATTTCGCTGGTGGTTCAAGAGAAAGGGAGTACGGCGGCCCGACGGGGGTATTCTCGTCGAATTTCAGGTCAGTGCGGGGGTTGTGGTCGGAATTCGGCGCCAACGCAAGGGTTATGGTCGAGTTTTTCGCCGACCGATGGTGGCTGGCTGGGTGGAGGGACGTGGGTGGCTGGAGGGATGGTAGTGGCTAGCTGGAGGGACGTGGGTGGCTGGGTTTTTTTTCTTTTTTTTTTCTTTTTTTTAATTAAAATTATATAATTATTTTAAAATTAAGTAATTTAAAAGGGAACCAATCATATGTTGCCACGTGGCCTTATTAGCCTTAATGACTAACGGTGTTAACGTCCGTTAGTCATTAATGGCATGTTGTGACATTTTAGTTAAACTGAAGGTTATACGGTGTATTAGAAAGTTTTCTATGGTATATGGTGAATTAAGCTTTAACTCAGTGTTATTTGGTGAAAAATCCGGAGTTCTAAATTAACTTCAAATTTTCCGACTTGAAAATTAATCCTCAAGTAAGGTCGTAAAGAATAAATTACACAAAATGCACCTTCAATAGGTTATACGCTAGCTTGCTCGTTTCATTCAAATTGATTGTTTACAATAAATAATAAAAAAAAAAAAAAAAAAAAAAAAAAAAACCTGTGTTAAGGCGAGGATAACAAGCTGAAAGCAAGTGAGGGAATTCCAGCATATGTGCATGTTATAAAGGGAGCAACAGGGCAAAGAATTACAAGTATCGTAATAAAGTTACAAAAGAAGCAGCAGAATAAGCCCTTAAGTGGGAGGAGAATCGAATTACAACAAGGTGATCCCAGCTCCCTTTTAAGACAATTTATCAACCAACCTAGTCAACCCAACTACATACTACTAGATAATAGATACTTTTGTCGTCCCAGTCAACAAAAATTCAAGAACAGGGCTCTTAATCTAGGAAACTTGGTTACCGGTTGGGTTAAGCTATTGTACACGGAACAAACTCTCAACAATTTTGCCCATCTCTCTCAAACCCTGTAGATGTACGAACTCTGACAAATGACTAATAAATCTACCATTCCTCCGCATTGTGTTGCTCCCTTGTAGAAAATCCAGAGTAATATTGCACAACAGGAATCCCTCGAGTATCCCACAGAATAAAATCCGCCAACAGTAAATGTAGAACTGAATATCCTTCATGGACCTTCGTGGGCTAGACTGTAAACTCATAATGTCCATATATGATACAACTAACCACCCAAAATGGGAAACAAAGACTAGGAAAAACTCCATAGCCTTGATCCTTTAAAAATGAGATCACTCACCTTTCTGATCATCATCCTTTGCTAAAGCACTGGGTCCATCATCAAAACCGGAACCAGGCGCTAGTTCATTAAGGTCAAGAAATCCCCTCGCTTCAATCCTGTCAGGATCAACTTGCTTTGGACTTTCAGGCTTAGGCAAGGGCCCGTTTTCACTTTTCTCAACATCCATGGGAGTAGACTCACTAACTCCTCTTTCTAGCTGCTCTTCCTCGTGATCATCCTCATCAGAGTCCTCACTTTCAGTCGAGTAATTCGGATAACCAGTTCTATCATGATTTACCTTCCTGTTTTTCGTGGATGTCTCAGTTTCAGAATCAGATAGCTCGTACTTCCGGTAATCTATACGATTCCTCGTAGCGCGTTTACTACGCCTCAAACCCGAGTCTAGGTCATCAACTGACCTTATTTTAGTTCCTCTTCGAGTCCGACCCTCAGGTTTCTTAAACCTTTCTCTTGGTCGGTCACTATCATCACTATTGCTCAGCAAGTCTTCTTCCTCTTCTTCTTCCACCTCATCTTCTCCATTTTCCTCACTCCATTGGTATTCCTCATCTCCTTCACCTTCAGAGCTGCTAGTCATTCTCTTCTTATGTTTACGCTGTTGCATATATGCCTCGTCATAAACAGCTTCCCCAACAATATCGTCATCACTATCTAAGTATCCCTCCTCATTGTCTGAAATCCCTTCAACATAATCTTTTTCTGAATATCTCTGAGGTCTTTGTCTCCTCCGATTACTAAATATCACAAGAAATTAAAGTTGTCAGAAAACCCTATCATTGCAGTGAATTAAAAAGAAAAACTAGTGTGTAAAGAATCTAACCCTCGATCCAATGGTTCAGAATTGTGGTCTACATCCATTTCATCATAATCAGCTGGAGATGGGGGACTAAATGACACATGCAGGGAGGAGTGTGAAGAGCCATTCCATCTACCGTTGGCAGATGGTTCAGGTTTGATAACATCCCTTTTAACACCAGGTTCTGGAGATGGCTGTTTGCGCCTACAATCAAAGAAGCAAAAGGAGATTAAATTAGTGAAGATAAGAAAGCATAAAAATATATAATACAAAGTATACATGTATAGAATATGTCCAAAAACATTTCCATACTTGGTAGTCTTGATAGCTTCATTGATAGAACGATCGAAATCATCTGCATAAGAGTATAAAAAAAACCACTCAATCTTTCAGCAAGCACCAAGGTTAGGTAAACGATAAAATCAAAGATCCAGGATCAAATAACAAGCTCTATTACTACAAAGTGGTAATGAGGTGAAGTCTATTAGAAATAGTGGCAAGCTATCTAGAGCCAACTATAATCGCCTCACCACTCCTTGATAACACAAAACTGCTCACACCATTAATTGCAAAATGGGAACTAAATTGTTTGCATACACAAATAGTAGAGTATAAAACCTGTACTTTCTTAGCTTAGGTTGCGAAGGCTATTCAAATTTAATAGTTCAGCTTCACTATAAGAAAATATATAGACAAAAATTTAAAGTTGATCCTCAGTCAAATTAAGACAATATCTTTGGGGAAATCAGGGTGATTTCATTATCATGTCCTACAACCAAGTGCTGGAACTTTAAACCTTCCATAGATTGTTACTTCCTCCATTTCATAAAAATTGCAACACTCCACCCAAAAAGCTCTCACATATTTAGTCCAAGTGTGGCAATTTTTTTTTTTTTTTTTTGAAACAGAGGAAGTATATATTTTAATATTTCTCAACCCCCCCCCCCCCTCCTCCTTCCACCCCCCAAAAGTCCCAGAAAACAACTAATTTGGTGTCTGGGCTGACTGGGCATGAAGAAAATAACAATACTTCTCAATTTCTTATCCCATTAGGCAATCCTGATAATTGTACGTTCACAGCCACTAGTAATGTAATTCTCTGGCACTCTTGCACACCCTACCAAATATATTGGTAAAAGGCTGATTCATAAAGCATTGTATCATAGGCGAAAGCCCTCAAGGTAGACGCAAATGCATCCAGGAGAGAATTTAAAAGTTCTTACCAAATGTATAAGTGACAGGTTTCCTGTCACGAAGAGAGCGGCCACCAGCAAGCCCATCCATGACAAAATTATCCAGAAGAAGAGCTTGGCGTTGCTGCTTTTTCAGCAATTTTTCTTTTCTCTGTTGAGAGAGGGAGAGAGAGAGAGAGAGCAGCAAACAAGGCAAGAGAACATAAGCAAATCAGGCTCTTCTGAAGAAATTAGTACAAACTTTCCCACTCATGAAAGTGGAAATTAGCAAAGAAGAAACAATTCTAAAAAGCTTTACCCTGTAAATCTTCTCAATCTCAGGAAGCATATCGTTCTTTAACTTCTTTCCAAGTGAAGCTTCTGTTCTGTTCTTGCTTGAGAAGAGCTTCTCCTGCAGACAGGCACATGGACATTAGCTTTTTAATAAAATTTGATGACAAATCCCAGCCAAAATCCAGTGACACTTCACACATCAAATGAAAATTCAATTTTTTCTAGCAAAAAAAAAATAATTCTAACAGAATGAAGGCAGCATACAACTCGAGGATCAGCTGTATCAGACTAATCTCACAGAAGTTTATAACTTGAAAGGTCAGCTCTCAATGAAATACAGAGAGTATATATATATATATACATATATATATATATATATATATATATATGTATATATATATATATGTATATGTATATGTATATATATATGTATATATATATATATGTATATATATATATATGTATATATATATATATATGTATATATATATATATATATAGATCAAAGGTTAACAGTTAAAGTTAATGATTTGTAATTGAGAAAGAAATCTTAATAGGAAAAGCTAAAGTTTGACGTATATGTTTCACCTTATTTTGTCAACTCACCCAACACTTCTTTCTCTCATGTTTTTAGTTCTCTCCTCATTCAACATTTCTCTGCTTTCCCTCTCATACTCAACAAAAATATACATCCTAACGAACAAATGTATCTTCTCATACAAGTAAAAGCCAGCAGCATAGTTTTTGTTCATAGTTGTAGCTTAATACCACTGTTTTTAATCACTACTCCTTCACATATAGAATTCTCAGTACAAGTCAGGTGTGTGTTTCTACAACCCAATGCACCTTTATATCCTAGTTGCAGAAATGTGCAATACTTAGCCCTACTGCTCAAACCTTGCTACTTCTTTACTTCCTTTATTCTAATTACTTTCTTCATCTCCCATACCTTGTTTACTCATTTAAACAGTTATATCTTCAAAAAGTTCAAATACTCCCTCCGACACATGAGCTTTGCATTTGGGTCAGATCCAGGGATTAAGAATGTTGTCAAGCTTAATACATATATACATACTTCCTTAACGTTGCAATTAAAAAAGCTTATATAACATGAAAACCCCAAAGCTGCAATTGAAAAAGAACGGAGGAAGTATATATTTTGGGACATTTTGAACTGGTAAAGGTTAAGTGTGGTATGGTTGTATGGGCAGAAAGTAAAAAGGATTACAGGAACATTTTACTTCAAACATTATTTATTTACTGTATTTGTTCAATGGGATCTTCAAACAAGAAAATTTCCTACACATAAATCACTTCACTCTAATAAGACACATCATCTTCTACACTGAAAGGCTTGAATCAAACAAGATTAACAGTACTCAAGTTTGCAATCTTCATAAATTCCAATGCAAATGAAATTTGATACCCTCTAGATTAATATATAAGAAAAAACATCCGCATGCTAGGATCGTTGATTTGCCTTGATGTACTAACATAAGCTTTTAAAATATTTAATAATATGTATCTAACTATATAAGCTCAAATGTGTGCACTGAGTTGACAATTAATCATCTCTCAAAACTCCAACACCAATAGATTAAGGAGGAGTGTAAAGGAAAGCTAGCAAGTTTATACTAACATGAAATTCATGCTGTCAGCTAGCATTATTAAATTAGAAACAACTAGCTATATCAGTTATTAAATTTATCGCAGAATGAACCAATGAACTGATATATTTTCTAAGGTATAAAAGCAATGTGGAAAACCCTACAGCTCTGGAAGTAATAAAAACAAAGTTCTTCTAATAAAAAGGCAGCAAAGGCCACAATTCTAACAAAAAGGAGAAATGAAGAACAAGAAATGAAAAGAAAAAAACAGGGGGTTCATCTTCCAAAAGATTATTCACACAGGAATGGTAAACAAGAGCACATGCAGGCCATACTTTTATCTCTCATTTATTCATACGTAGCATTTAAAGACTAGTACTGATGTTGACCAAGCTGCTATTCTGAAGATTGCAGTGAAGTGGGAAATAATTGTTTATTTGTATTTTGGGTTGCACATAAACTATAACCGTTTCCAGAAAAAATGGTGCATTAATCAATGTCTATTTTGGTTGTGACAGGAAACAAAACAACGTGGATGTATCCTTCATGAGAGAAATATAGCAAAAAACAGTAATTCCAACAGCTTACAGAAACATCAAGGAATTCATCCAGATTAGTTGCCACTGTTTCCCACTCGTAAGTTGTGCAAGGAAGGACATTAGAGCCCTTAGTCTTTCCCTTCTTCATCTCAACCTTCCTTTCAACTTTCCTGATCTCCCGATATAGCCTATGGCCAACAAATTCATCATCTTCATACCTGCAAAGTGACACAAACCTTAATTTCTTAAAAAACAGTGCAAAATCACAAGTACTCGTATACAGATGACAATAAACAAAATCATCTTATTAGTTTGCAGCATGAAAGACATTTAGAAACTTGGATAAGTGATCAGATGTAATACCAAAACGAAGTTCCATGTGAATCACCGCCAATTCGCTCTTTCCGAAATGCAGAAAGCTGAGCTCCATGTTTGAGTGAATTATCAATATAACTCCTGATATCATCTTGCTACAGATTACAAGCAAAACACATAAATGTAAGTATCTAGGGGTCATGGACAGGACGGACACAAAATTCAACACAAACAAATAGATCAAAATATTTGTTAGTCACACCAACATAAGTGGTGAGCTTCTCATGACTATTGTCTCTAAACTGACCAAAAATTAATTGAGATATAAGCGATCATAACATGCCTCTTGGTACAATGAGGAATATTGCTCATGACACCAAGTCCTCCAGACGATGGGCATGAATTTTAACAGATATTAGATGAAGTTGTGAAAGTCAATTCTAAATAAAAGCATAAAGAAGGCTTGTGATTAGATAATAGTGATACCTCTACTCGAATATCACACAGGGCTTTCAGGATCACCACACGCACTGCTGGATCAAGGGTCTTGTACATTTCAATCTCAGCCCTACAGATTGATAAAGCAAGCACATTAAAGACATAATCACCAAAAAGTAGAGAGCTCAAAAGGCAATCAGACACTCACCCATGATTAGCAACTATAGGCAACTCTCCTTCAGCAACCTTCAAACAAATACAAATTCAAATAAGATTAAGGCAATCCAGCAGAAGGGGCAATGCGGCAGCATATCTGTCCATAAAAAATAACTAAGCAGGACAATTACCCAATGCCACCAGTCTCGCAACTTTCTGCATAGCACGGTCACCCAAGTTTCACGTCCACAAGCCATCCGAGTAACTGGAGGAATTGCCTATCAGCATCAAGAAATATTTTTAGATCACTTGGAGAAAAAGCAGAGTAATTCAATGACCAATAGTACACAATAAGACCACATTAAACCAATAATCAATTCAGGAATCACTATGGTCAGAATCCTAGATCCAATACTCAAGGAGAATAGACAAGAGGTTTGCTAAAACCAAGAAAAAAGGGTTACAAAGTCCAGTAGGAGAGCTGTGAAGGTTTACCATCACCAGTAAAGTCTAAACTAAAATAACAATGTATGAGAGGGCAAAATGCAAAAAAACAAAAGCAGAGCAGAAAGAATTTCCTCAAGACCCAAGATGTATTAAGCTAAGTAAGCTCACTAGACAACCTTATCAGCACATTCAAAGTGTTCAAGGACAAAAAAATTACCTTATTTTTTTAACCTGTGCAACAATAGAATTAGCAAAATAAAAGATGATAACCTATGATGCCCCTGATGAAAAAGGAATTTCTTTCTCTAAAATCACATACACAAAGCCAACTCCTCTAATAACATCATGTACCAGATCGACAGCTACTAAGCGTGATTATAAACTGAAACATCTAGCCAAACAACTACTTCAGAGAGACTTACTGCTTTTAAATAGGGCTACTATGCTAATACAAAAGGTACATAAACATATAAAAGACCATTTCAACAGATCATTCCATGAGATCACAAAAAGAACAAACCACCCACACTTAATTATATGCTATTTCACAATCCAGCACAGACCAACTGCTCTCCCTATTATATCTCAAACACGTAATTAGAAAAATCAAGTCAACTACTAGGCATCCAGCCAAGGATAATTTTTGTTTACTAATTTACCCACAAGCAAGTAAGCAACCTTACTTACCAACCCATAGGTCATGGCTCAGTCTTATCTTTACTTGTTGAAAAATTTAAGGTAGCTTCTCTACTCCCAGATATGTTATACATTTATTACCCCGGTTTATCCAAAACCAGCTTGACCTGAGCTTAGTGGCTCAAGCTTCACCAAAAATATAAAACACTTAAAAGTCTTAATAAGCAGTTCCCATTTTCCTATACCAATAGATCAATCCTATATTCAAGCAGAGCCTAAAGAATAAAAATATTCAGCTTTAAATTTATACACTTGTTTACTAACCTAGTAAAGGGTACTGTGTTGCCAAAATACCTTAAAAAGGAATAATTTCTCAATTTCTTTGCACATCCCTAGATTATATCAATAAGCACAAAAAAGATGCCCAAAAGCTTTAGCTTTTCACCCATTACAAAATTCCAGCAAATTGAGTTCCATACCTTGTCAGCCTAATAATAAAATTAATAATCCATGTAATCATAGTTAACATAATCCTCCTCACTGTCTTCTTTTTTGAGTTTAGCGAGTTCAGTCACATTCATTAGTAAGCCCAAAAAATGTATACATACAGCTTCATTACATTAACAGACACCCTATAAAAATTAATAATACAACAATATTACCAACGAAGTCTCTTACCTGAGCATCAAAAGCCTTCAAACTACGAAAGAGTTTTTATACAACTAGAACATGACAATCAAACTCAACTTTAAATCAATGGAATCCAAGGAGTAGATACATTAATTCAAGCAGGTGCATACACGCAATAACCAGCCCTCTGATATCAAAATTACACATTTGCGGTATTGAATCCTCTTCCATCTAACCAGTTTCAATGAAACATATATCATAGTAAGCACACATGCATTTTCAATAAACGCTAACTAGTTTCAAATTTTCAATCCAATAAGCAAACAACTAATACTTTTACATCAAACAAACATACCAAACGCTAAAATATTTTCCACACTTAAAATAGATTAGAAAGCAATGGGCCAACCTTCAACAATGGGATATGTATATCACTCAATGTACTATTGGGAGTAAGCAATGCAGACTCCAACTCCTCAGCACTGAATTCAGCATTAATGTTCAAAACTGCCCTAAACAACTACAATCAACAAACACAAACACCTCAATCAAGCTCAATAAACAACAAAAAACACCAAATTAAATAACAAAATTCCATCTCTTTTATATCTTAACTGACATGGAGAAAATTGAGTATTGAAGCCAATTCCCACATAGACCTCAAGTGCCACCGCGGCATTTGCTCCGGTGTAGGTGGATTCACCAATGAAGTTACAACCTTACTACTATGCTCCTTTGGCAAATCATCATCTTCCTCTTCAAGTACCTCCTCCTCTACCACCACCTTCTCAACTTTCTCCCTCTTCGGCGGCCTCGCCCTCCGCTCGATCACCGGAGGGTCCACATACTTAGCCGGCCGAGCCGTGCAAGCTCGAGTTGGCCTTTCTCTCCTAACTATTACATTATTATTACTATTATTAGTGCTATCCTTCTTTCCACTTTTGCTATTGCTCTTATTAAGAGCATCATTACCACCCAGCTCTATCTTGTTTTCATCCTCAATTGGGTTACTACCCTCTTGCGTTACAGTTCCGGTTTCAGTTTCGGTTTCGGCTTCGGTTTCGGCTTTGGGTTCAGGGTTATTGTTGGTTTCAGGCTTTTGGGTATCACCATTAGTCTCCGGTTCAGCCAAAGATCGGTGGATCGGGGACGATACGGTGTCCTCCATAGCAGGAGGATCAAGAAGGTGAGGGTTAGGGCTAATTAAGGTGGGATTTGGCAAAAGATCATAGCTTTGCATTGAAGAAATACAATGAAATTAAGCCCAAGTTTTTGGGTACTTAGAAAAATCCAAGAGAAGGTAAAATAACCCCAGAAAATATGAATAATCCAACATTCATTACATCATACCACTCTTCTCTGTAAATCTCTTCAACCCCAGAAAAATCAAGAAAACAGGGAGAAAAATGGAAGAAATTTAGAAACCCAAATAATAAATTGGATTGATTTTTGTGGGTATTTGGCAATTTTGATGTTAAGCTTAACCCCAGTTCTTCTGGGTAGTTTTAAAAATGGGGGGGTTTAATTGGAGTATTTTTGGGTTTTTTTTTTGTTGAGTGCACTGGATTTTTTGGATTTTTTTGTGTTAATTGAGTTTTGGTTTATGGGGAAAAAGGGGAGAAATAGAAGGGTTTGGGTAATTAGGGCAACTGGGTAAAAAAGGCAGTCTTCAAAGGAGCATATGACAAGGAGCATGGAAATAGAGGGAGAGGTTTTGCCTTATTTCCACGGTCTCTTTTCTTTCTTGTTTCTTCAATTTTCCTTTTCTTTCTTTTTTCCACAAATTTTTTTTTTTTTTTTTTTGGACAGTTGATACAAAGAGACCTAGGCCCTGTTTTTTAGAGCTGCTCTGCTCTACTCAAAAGAAAATATGTTCTACTATGCTCTGCTTAATTTTTAAATAATATTTAATAATGACAACAATAATAATTAATATTCAGTAATAATAATTAATATTGTATTGATGATAATAATTTATTATTTGAATAATTATAATAATTATTAATATTAAAAATAATTTTACTAATAATAATAATAACAACAACAACAACAACGTTAATAATAATAACATTAATAATAGTATTAATAATAATGTTGAAATCTGATGTACTCGACTCTGCTCTGCTATCCTGAAATTTGTTCTGCTGAAATTTAATCTGCTTTGCTGTGCTGACCCCTGCTCTGCTCTGCCCACAAGCTCAAAAGAACAGGGCCCTAATCTCCAATATTTAGATCACCTACAAAAAAACAATGAAAGTTAGGCATAAGCATAGAAATCTTGTTTAGTAACATTCTATCACTTTGTGGCCCTGGATTTTGTCCTTGCATCCATTTGACAACCCTTGTATCTTGGCAGCAGACCTGCAGATGCCAGCTATGCCTTCAGCCTTCCTAGAGCAGACTTCAGTCCCTTGAAAATAGCAGTAAGCATGTTGGTTACTCCTCCCCCGTGGTGAAAGCTCTCTTCACCCTGGTCTAAGATGGCTACGTCAGTCTTCAAGTGCCAACACCTACTTCTCTGCTTCCCCTTCCGTTTCCCTCTCCGCAGATCCAATTGTAAATCTGCAAATACCTGTTCCAGAATTCAGAACCAGATTGTTATTCCCTTGCTTCTCCTCTATACAACTAGGACCAAAACCTAGAGGACCATCATAACCTTGAATGTTGTGTGTAATACTGCAGTCCTCACTCGAAATATTCTTCTTAATAGGCATTACCACCCTACTTTCCATTCTTTTAATGACTGCCCATGGATTCAGCTTCGTGTTCTTGAAAATTTGATTGTTCCTGGCTTCCCATATACTTTCTAGTCCTACTATAAAGGTTTGGAAGCTTCTCTCCATACTCTCATCCTTTCCCCCAAGGATTCTTAACCATTTCTGCACCCATTCAACAATTGGGACATTGTCTTGAAAAGCCACATTCATACCCAAATTGAAGCCTTTCCAAACATGACTAGCAACGGAGCAGTCCCTGAATAACTGTTCTAAAGTTTCAAGTTGGGTGTTGCCTTGATCCTCACTGTCGAAACAAAGATGGCAATGATGCTTGTCACCCAATCCTCGTCTTTTCCTTTCACTCCCCACAGGTAGAGCTCCCTTCAGAATTTTCCACACAAAGATTTTCTGCTTTAGAGTGCCAGTATAATTCCAGAAGCTCTTCCAATTTATGCTGCTAGAGCTTCTTAATTAAGTGCTGATTTGGATCAGAGCTATGTTTTGAGTCAAACAAAAGTCTGTATCCACTTTAAACAGTATATGAACCACTATGGTTTCCCTTCCAAATTATTGATTCTTCAAAACCTGCTTCCATTGGACTAATGTTATGGATTTGTTTTGTTGTATCATCAGAAAACCACAGCTTGCACTTATCCAAGTCTCATTCCCCATTTTGCTTTCGAAGAAGGCTGCTAACTTTTTCAGTTATGTAGGTATCCTAATTCTTCCCTTCAGGTGCCTTGCACTTAACCCGGGGATGGTGAATTCTAGCATAACACACCCATCACCTACGGACCACACACACCCTTGCTTTAGAACCTGTAAACCCCACTTAACACCCTTCCAGAGTTCCAGCCCCAAGAACCAGCATTCCTACTTTCCCAAGTCTCATAAAAAAGAGTTGTTTTATCAATCCCATACTTAGGACAAAAAACCTTACTTATTAGGGAATCTGTATCATGAATGATTCTCCACCCTTGATTTGCTTGGAGAGCTTGGTTGAAAAAACGAGCATCCAAGATTCCCAAGCCCCCTTTTTCTTTTATCTGGGTGAGATGAGTCCATTTCTTCCAATATACACCTTTACCTATCCTATTCCCTAGCCACCAAAATTTAGCAACTATGCTATTAATTTTCTTGAGAATATTTACAAGACATTTAAAGACAGAGAGAACATAAGTACCCAGGCTTGAGAGAACAGACTTAATCAGGGTAAGTCTACCAGCAAGGGAGAGGAATAGGGAATTCCAAGCATTTAATCTCTCTTTACCCTGTCAACTAAACCACCAAAAATTTGCTACTTATTCACACCAAAGTCTGCTGGGATGCTTAGATAAACCCTAAACTTGCTACTCCTTTTTATGCCTAGCAGTTCACTGTATTTCATAGCCTCATTATCATCCATACTAGGACTAGAGAGTAACACTGATTTATCTTGATTAATCACCTGCCTCGAGGCCTTACAGTAAGTATTAAGGACCAAACTTAAGTCCACACTTTTTCTTCATTCATGGTTAAAATTGATTATGCATATATGGAATACTCATACATTGTATTAGGATATTGGATCATAAATTTATCATGATGTTAATTATAGGGATGTTCCTTTCTCAAAAAAAAAAAAAAAAAAAAAAATAATAATTAAGGGATATTAATGGGACGAGTTTTAGTTTAAACTTCTCTTGCATGCTACATCCAGCCATCTAATGGATGGTGAAATGGAGGTTGAAGATAAAAATCGAACCTGGCATGTTAGTTAGAAAGCCACATGAATACGAGAAGAACAAAGTAAAGGCCTATTTTTAGGGCAGGTTCAATCTCTTTTAGGTTGGATTTGTTCCTTCATTCTCGAACATCCAGTCATGGTTCCAAACCTATTGGAATTATTCGAGGGTCATTTTGTCCTTTTTCACTACTACAAAAAGTGGAAAAAGGACCCGGACCCGTTATCTTAACCAACAGGTATGTTTGATGTAAGAGATCCTTTAATAGAGATAACGGGTCTCTTATAAGCCCTTGGGCCCACAAATTTATTGATAGGAGTGAGATAAGAAACCCATTGTAAGAGCAACGGGTCTCTTACCTTCCTTTTTCACTTCTCAATTATTTATGCGTGTTGTTGTACCATCCTTTTGCTCAATCTCTCTCCTCTGCATCTCTTTGTTTATCACCGACATTCCTTTGCTAATTTTTTTCCTCAAAAACTCATTTCTCATTCACCTCCGATTTATGGCTTCATCTCCTTATTTTCCACCTTCATCAACGACTTCTTCGAGCATATGCATGCTCCTTGTATTTTGAGAAGTCTCCACCTTCAATATCCCTCTTTGCTTATCCTCCGACGACAGTTTCAAAGTGCTTTAGTGCAATTAGATCTAGATTTAATCATTCAAGGTACAGTTTTTGTGAATTTCACTGAGGTTGTTCGAAATTTATTGTTTTTTTTTTCTGGGTTGCTTTGGGTTAGCGATGGTGGTGGGTAGATGTTTTTGGTTTGTTTTGTGATTTGTGTTTTCGTTTGATTTTTGGTTTGTTTTTGTGATTTGGTTTTTGTTTAATTTTCGATTTGTTTTGGTAATAATGAAAACAGGTTTGTGATTCTTTTTATACTCTCGAATTCTAATTTTCATTATATTGATTATAATCCTTTTGTTGGATCTATTGAAAGATTATGTGATTGTGTAATTTGTGCTCTAATCATTGAGATAGATCTAGAGTTTTTCGAGAAAAGGTCCGAAGATCTATATAAGAAAGGTCCGAAGATAGATCTATATAAGAAAGGTCCGAAGATCTATATCAGAAAGGTCTGAAGATTGTGTAGTAGAATTTGCAGTTTTTTTTAAAAGTTTTTTCATGGTGGTTGTTTTGATTTTGGATTTTTTCGTGGGTGAGTATGGTTTTATGGGGGTTGTTTGGGTTTAGCTTTAGATTGCTTTTGGCGGTGAGGCAGTGGCGACGGCTAGGGTATTTAGGAGGGTTAGGCCGTTAAGGATGGTTTATACTTTATATGGGTGTGGAGGTAGTCTAGTCGTGTTGAATTGTTGGTGTTCTGGTCTTTATCTGATTTTTTGATTTTTTTTAGTTTGAATGTTAAATTAGATTATTGCTCTTTATTTTACTGAATATTAACTTGTTTATGGGCTCTTAATTTAGCAAGCTATATTTTAATTTCATATAACTGCGTAACATTTTGCATAATTGTTCCTACTACTGTTATATTATTGGGCATAATTATTCCTAATATTGTTTATATCATTGAACAGGTTATGCTATTGATAATCATGGAAGGAATACAGAGTACAAGATACATTATTAATGTATGGTTGTGTTTCGGGTGAAAACAATGGGACCTTGTTGAAGGTCCGATGAAGTGGAGAAGACTAGATTCGATCCAAGTAATGTTGGGCCGAAGGTTTCCTGCACAGTAAACACACGTAAACTAGCCTCGGGGGTGTTGCTGAGGAAGGCCCCTCCGATGCTAAAGTCAGTACAGTGCGTAGAAAGAGAACACTATGCAAGAGAATTAATTGCTTGAGGCTTTGCTTGAATGAATGTACAAATGTAATATTGATGGCTTTTATACCTCTGCATACATGGAGAAGTTGGGCCTTAGCCCAATTGACTTGCCTTGAGGACTGATCTTTGACTTTAGCACAATTGGAGAGATGAACCTTGACCTTAGGCTTTTAATTGGATTATTTAATGCCTAAGCCCAATTGGACTAAATTGGACCCAAACAACTTGCCCCCCAGACCCGATTTGGAAGGATGACGGGTCGGGTTTGATTTAATCAGAAAATGAGGGAAGTGAATGATTTAATTAATCCAAAAATTTGAATTTAAACCGTAATTAATGAGATAACAACAGTTAAGGCGGATAATTGTGGAAGTTGGACGGATAATGAGCAGTTTAATCGCAAGGTCGTGTGTTTAACGGTTACTTAGTGAGGTATTTAAGAGAAATTGAAACGCGGACTCCCCGTATTCCCATTTCTGGAGATATAATTAGAGGCGCGTCATCTCTCCTCACTTATTCACCAACACAAACCCAGAATTCTCGAGAGAACCCAAGAACCCGCATTAAAACTTCGCAAATTCCCCGAGCATTAAGCTTAGAAACTGAGACTCGCCACTACCAATTCGTAAATCGGCAACTTTCGCTTCAAATTAAGGTAAATTCCTTTAATTTTA